GCTTCAAAAAGCGGTGGTGAGCACATGCAGTTCTTGTACAAGTATGATAAGATTTCGCTGTTTTGAGACATATGTCAACACGAAGCTTCTTGCACAACTGGATTTGTTGAGCAACGCGCTTGCATCACAAAATGGCGGGGGTTGGGGGGGTCGCAGGCCCCCCCCATTTGAAAAGCATGGACAACGATCAGAACACACTAGTTTCTTGCAACGGTTGATAGTCAGTTTTGTTGCATCGTGCTTGCATTACGAAATAGCGGGGGGGTTGGGGGGGCGCAGCCCCCCCAATATGCAAAACATGGACGAAGATCAGAACACGTATATCTTCGTGCACCCTTCTGATGGATTTGTATATTAAGCCCATACTATGAGCGAAACGCATTGGGGGGTAGTAAAGGGACCCACCCAAGTACTACTCTGCCCATAATATGAGTGAAATGCATTGGAGGTAGTAAAGGCACCCACCCAATTAAACCAGGGCCCATGCTACGAGAGAAAGGCATTGGGGGTATGTTGTAAAGGGGCCCACTCAAATAATACGAAGCCCGTACTATGAAAGAAATCGTTGCTTTCAACGGGCCCTCTCAGATAATCCTAAGCCCATACTATGAGGAAGAAATTAGGGGTAGTAAAGGGACCTAGTCACATAATACTAAGCCGGTACTTTCAGAGAACGTTTCTGGGTGTAGTAAGGGGACCCGCGCAAATGATATTAAGCCCATACTATGAGCGAAACGCCTTGGGGGGTAGATAAGAATAATAAAAAGATCCACCCAAGTACTACTCTGCCCATAATATGAGTGAAATGCATTGGAGGTAGTAAAGGCACCCACCCAATTAAACCAGGGCCCATGCTACGAGAGAAATGCATTGGGGGTATGTTGTAAAGGGGCCCACTCAAATAATACGAAGCCTGTACTATGAACCACCCAGATAGTCCTAAAGCCCATACTGTAGTAAAGGGACTCAGTCATACAGTACAAAGCCCGTACTATGAGAGAAATGGATTGGGGTAATAAAGGGACCCCCCAAATAATACTAAGCCCATACAGTTACTATGAGAGAAATTTTTTGAAGTTGGTAAAGAGACCCACCCAGCCAATGCTAAGCCCATATTTACAGGATTTTCCCGTTTGTCTCAAGAGAACACTTTGATTTCTTTGATCCCTCCTTCCTTACTTCCTGACATAGGTTTCCCCGTTGATTTCCTCTGAAACGGAATTTTTATTTTTTTAACCTTAGCTGATTTCATTTGTTTCTTTTGATTTTTTGACCCTTGTTTGATTTTCTTGATTCTTGTTTGATTTTTTGAGGCACATCCCGCTCTGATGGCCGAGCAGCCCACCAAGGCATGATTGTAATAAGGGGAGTTTGCTAGGACCCTAGACACACCACATGATAAGCTAAGAAGTCAAGCAGTTCAAAGTAGGAAGCCAGAAAGCTAATAGACCAGCAAGCCAAGAGGCCATGCAGGAAGCCGAGAAGCCAAAAAGCCAAGAAACCAAACAGCCAAGAAGCCAGGAAGCCAAAAAGCCAAAAGCCAAGAGGCCAGGAAGCCAACAGGCCAAGAAGCCAGAAGCCAAAAAGTCGAGAAGCCAGGAAGCCAAAAAGCCAAGAAGCCAAAAAGCCGGATGTAGGGACGCTCCACGCGAGAGGGCGAGAGGTGGATATACAGAAAACAATGCAAGCACACACTCACACGAGAGTTGCCTTTCGAGACCAAATGTAACAACGCTTCACGTGAGAGCTCCATTTTGTGGTCGAAATGTGAAGACGCTTCACACGAGAGCTCGATTTGGAGAGAAAATGTGAGGACGCTCCACGCTAGAGCCCTATTTCGCAGCCAAAATGTAAAGACGCTTCTCGCTAGAGCCACCCTAAAAAAAACAAGTCACCACCCCAAAAAAAACAAGTCCCAAAACTCCGTTATGTATCTGTAGTCCCTTTTAACAAGCAAAATGGTGATGTCTAAAACGTCGAGAAAGGTAACAAAAGGAACCCTGCAGGTATGCCTTCAGTCATGCCGGTGGAGTAGCTTCCAGCATGTTGGAGAACAAGGGACACACACGACTGCTAGAAAGCTGCACAAGGAAACAAGCAGGTGCCAACCGACTTTGGGCCCGTGCAAGAGATCGCAAGCTTCCGAAACACCTTGCTGGCATTTGCTTTCGTGCAAGTTCCAAGCTTTTGCCGGGCTAGGTTGTGTAGAGGATGTGTGAGCAAAGCATTGCAAACTTCACAATGGTGCAGTGTTGCAAGCACTGGAGCCTTCCCATCCATCAGTCTTTGACGCATATCGAAGCTGCGAATCGATCCACTTCCTATGCTCTTTGTTTAGCTTGCGGGATGTTCCTCTCCTGCCTGGGGAAGAACTGAAACGCAAACAACCTCCTGTTTATCCATCTGCTCATCTTGTTTGGGTGCTCGCCTGTGCCCTTAATCAATTTTGCATCGAGGGGTGTGCTTTGCACTGATGGCTCATGACACCCCCCCCCAGAGATCAAAGGGAAGGTGGGTAGGTGGCGGCCGTAAGAGAAAGAAACCTGAGCTCCCAGTCCTTGTACGGAGTGGCCAAATAATTTGCGTGCTGGGGCTGGAAATACAACAGTTTAGGTGCCTTAGGTTTGAATCAGAACTGAAACCAAGCATATGCCAAGGCATGGAGCTGCAAAACGAATTGTGTAACGTAGAAGTTTGCACGAAGCCCATCGCTTGACAGACTCTTTGCCAGTCCTTGTCTCATCGACATCCATCTGGACGTTCCGCAACACGGAGACAATGACAAGAGCCTCACTGCAAACTTTGATCACGATGAAGAGTAGCCAATGGGCGTTCAGACACAGTACTACCGGATTCAAATTGAGAACGAGGCCTGCACATTGCAGCAGCAAAACTTCACGAAGCGACTCAGGATTCAGCGTCGTAGTTCCGTGCCCAGAAAGCATGAAGCCAGTCTGCGCGCCTGCACAAATTCCGGCCGGTTCCGACAAGTGCTGTCCCGTCAAGCGGCTTCATCAACCTCCCTACCAAATCTCCTACGTCCTTAGCACTCTCAGTTTGCTATCGCTGCCCAAACCAAGTGCCAGGCAGAACTTCGTGACTGGCCTGCAGTTGCTGAAGTTGAAGGTGCTTCAACCCTCATGGGATGACGTTGAAACGACTGTGGAAATTCTGGCGTCCTGCCGAGGAAAGGATGCTCACCGAAATCTACAGTCCATGAAGCTCCAACAAGTCCCTTCTGTATCATGCCAACACTTCCAGACCACCACAACTTCTGCAAACGATGGTGGCGCTCTCAGGCTAAGGCTGTCAAGGCTGCAGCGCAGGCTTCGAACGCTGCAAAATACAGCCTCACAAAAGCTGGGAAGCTGACTAATGTGTTGGTTTTGGAATTGGAAGGGCTGATGCTGCACATGCGGCCTGTTTTCCGGCCCAGGGCCCGACCGTTTCCACTTTGAAGAGGCTCTTAAGTTTATGCAAACTTCAGTGGCATGTTGATCACCTATCATAGGACAAGTCTTGACGGCGTATGCATCAGGCCCGTCTTCCCAACTCAAATAAAGCTTTTGCACAGATGGTATGCCCGAGCAGTGAAGATCTCGAGGTAGATTGCCATCGCTGGTGCGGAGCACGCAAGGCAACTGAAAGCTTGCACACCACCATTCAAGGACAATGATACGAATGCCTCCACCCATGAATGATTGCATCAATGAACGCTTGCCAGGTCTCTCTCTCTGCCATGGGGAATAGCTTCCCATGCCTATGAAAATCAGCGTGGCAGGTGATGCAACGTGAGGTTTGTGCGCTACACTGCGCTCACATCGAAGTTGCTGTACTTATCCATGTTCGGCAAAGCTCTGACCTCACTGGCAACAAGCGCCTCTTGACGTCTTTAGCTTCGGATCCTCCAATAACTGTACCACCGTGCCACCCTTACCCAAGTACGAAGACCGTCCCTCCACTACCTGCAAGGGCTAGATCATCTTTGGCCATGTTCGGTACCAACCAACCCTAAGCTGGCAGAACTGGTTGTAATTACCAACTTGCGTCCCAAGGCGCTGCGCTCAAAGTTTTGTCAGTGGCCTCCAGCCCATCTTCTCCTCAAAGCGAGCCTGTCCAAGTCTAGCAGGATCATGTGTGCTGGGTGGCTCGTCCCGCAGAGATCCCACCTAGAATTGAGCATCTTTCCCAGCATGAAAGGGACATGGCGACAAAACTTTGACCTAACATACGCGATGCTTGAAGCAGCCGTCGCAGCCTTCCACTGGAAGAAGTAGGGGTCCTTTCAACATCAGCAACAGCTCATCTGGCTTGTGCATCACAATGCATGCAACCGTTTTGGTAGGACAAGGTCTCCACTAGTAGCGTCAAGTCCAAGGCACTGGGTTGTAACCTTCCTGACGCTTCGTCCGTGGGTTCAGGGGCTCCACGGCCTACCATGTCAGCAGCATGCAGGCAAAGATGCGCTTGCAGCTTTTCAAGTCTTAAGTCTCACTCTAAACCCTATAAACTCCCACTCTAAACCCTAGACCCTGAAACCCCAAAACCCTGAACCCTAGACCCTAAAACCCAATAGTCCCTTGAACTATATGAACGGAGCTCAGGCGTGGGCCATAATTGCCAGTAAGGCCAGGGAGCCAGCGGCATACATCAGCACCTGACTTCACATCTCTAATCCACTCTCAAAAAAAGAAATAAAACTCCACTTTAGGCACCTTTGCATCCAAGCCTGCCATCGTGAACGGGGAATGGGCTGTCTGAGCCGAAACTTCTCTGATACAAGTTCCTGGTTTCGGCAGGTCTCGAGTGTTTCTGTGGCAGTCAGTAGATAGTAGACAGTGGCAACGCGGCACCTATCCCTAGGATCAATGCAGAAACCCTCTCTCGTCGTCTTGATCTTAGTTTGCAGATTCCGCAAGACTAAGACATGTCTTTCAGTCAATACTGCGGCTGCGCTGGCTTGAATGGGGTGATTCCAACAGCAGAGCAAGGTTGCAACTCTACCGCCTCACTGCAGCGTCCCTCAGTTCAGCTTCCTTGTCGCCGTGCATGCCTCGGCCAGCCGAGCAAACAGTCAGACAGGCAACTTGGCAAAAAGTGGTACTGACATGTGAGTTTTTGTCATCCAAGAAATTGTGGGATCTCGGGGCACCTACAGGGCCAAACTTCGAAAAGCAACCTCATACAAAAAGAAGGAGTGGAGTCTCTCCCCCAAACTCATTCTCCATTCTGAGCTCGGCAGTCATCATCTTAGGTGCCAGCTTCTCTGCGGCTCCTGCAAACACCCGTCGTACCTGCGCAGCATGGCACTTGCATCAGTCCCTTGTTATTGGTTTTGAACCTTGCGAAGGAATCTAGGCCTCGTCTGTGCAGGCTTGCAAACTTTTCTCTTGCAAGGGCATCGAGTGTCCAGTGCGAACGTGCATGACTGCACGCGGTAGTGGAAACACCTGCTCCCCACAAGGGGAGCCTGCGGCACTTTGTTGCTCCGAATGTGCCGGCTGAATGCTGCTCCCTTCCCAACTTTGCCGGTTGCTCCTCTTCGACGAGAGACATAAGTGCTTGGGCCTCTGAGCATCTGAGTCATGGGAACTCCAGTCTAACCTCGCGTGAGTCGGGTGTCTTGATCCCATGGAAATGCTCTGTAATCAGGGCCGGGTCAGTCCATGCCTGCAGTGTTTGGATGCCTGGGAGCGCGTATCTGGCACGTGTCGAGAAGCGGCGATCACCCAGGCAATTTGTCTGTTTCCAGCTGTGCAAGGCCAACCCAATTTGTGCGAACCCAGCCATGCAAGTCCACCACTTCCTCAACACTGTGTGGCAGCAAAGCAAGCAAACCAACAAATGCCCGCGAGGCCTTGCGGAATCCGAAGCTTAGCATGTGCTCTGTATGCCGAGCCAAAGCTTGCAGACTAGTCTCATGAGGCTTTGGGCTTCGTGGAAAGGTCACCACCGCACCTGCGCGCTGTGCAGCACGGTTGGAAAGACATACTAATATGATTAAGAAGCGTGCCCCAGCACCCTAAAGCTCCGCGCAAATGCAAGGCTTGCATTGAAAGGCGCTGGGGATGTCTAGACCCTTTTTGAAGGCAACTCAAGGAAGACGAATGGAGCAGTATTGGCTGAATAAAGAATGAATTTGAAAATCGAGGCACAGTCGACAGGAGGATCGACCAACTGGAGGACCTGTGCCAAATCAGTTAAGCAAATCACAGACTGTTGCAAAGCCCTGTGCCTCTTGGCTGGCTTCTGCGCCCCCGGCTGCCTAAAACATGCGTGGACAAGCGCTCGTGCTTCTACATCTGCCAGAACGATGAGCCACCAACAATGGACCGAATTTCAGTTCACCTGAACTAGCTGAAGAGCGAAGCTTCCATCATCAGTCTCGCATCCCAAGCAGACCTGGGCTGCAAGGAACCCGAGTGCTGCCACCCCCTGCACGGAAGGAGTTCTTTCTGAATCCTCTCCCGTCTAAGCCCTCATCACCTGTGAACTACGAGATGCTACAAGTTCGAGTGCCTGTCACAACCTCAGGGTGCATCAAAAAAGTCAAACACATTTGGGAATGCGCCTGTCCTGGTTGCCTTGTTCGGAGCTTCCCCTTTTGGCTGGATCTCATGACCACGGGATGCAGGAAGAGTGCTCGGCCAAGACACCCCATTCCGAAAGAATGCAGTATAATCCAGAATCTGACAGGCAGCATGAACTGCGCACTCTACATGCAGCTGCAACTTTTGTCATGTCACGCCCTGGTCTGAAATTTCCAGGGCCGGCCTTTCCGGGCAGGAGCTTTTGCCATCGATCCGCATCCTCAACCATCATCTCCAGCCAGTGGTCAAACCGATGCACATATCCTGAGCATTCTCAAATTCTTGAATGCAAGATTCTTCCACTGTTGAGCTTCTCTGTGTGCCTGCAGGTCTCTGAGAACAGACGGGGTCAGGCATTCGTAGAGCGGCCGGAAGAAAGGCGAGGCTCGCCAGCAGATTACGGATGAGTTGTATCCTGAATCTTGCGCAAATCCAAAACATCTCATGCAAGCTTCAAGTGTTTTGCTGCTAGTGCTTCAATTATGTGTCTTGACTTTCACCAAAAAAACGGATCTCCTCCAACAGCCAGCTCACAGGCAACATCCTGCAACGATGGTTTTCAGGCCTAATCACAAGTTCTAGCCTTCCCAGGTTCGGCTGCGGAGCTCCGGTGCAAATGCCAGGCGAATGCCCCAAAAACAATCTCTCACATTCTGCACGAACGCCTTGTGACAAAAGTTCTGTCCTCCGTGCCAAGAACGGCAAATGGACCGTCATATGCAGCAAGTGGATGAACGTCCTTGAAGTGAAGCAAGGTTTTCCCGAGAAGAGCAGGTGGGCTTCTTCGGGAATATGCTTTGGAAACTACCTACGCGCGGTCAACGTCCACCTGAGCCATGGTTTTTATTCCTCTATAATTTCACTACGATATCAATGC